GAAAGAGGCAGTCATCCCAGGCTTGGACCAGATGTCCACACAAAGATTGATTTTTCTGGCCTTGTCTAAAAGAGATTGGATGTTTGTCTTCATGCTTACGCAAACAGCATCAATTTCCTTGCTTATTTTCTTTCTTGATGGTACTTGATACCTTTTGTCAAGTGCCAAGAGCAAATCTCGAAACTCTTGGTTTTCCACAAGAGAAAGAGCGCCGACATTTGTGGAACCTACAAAAATGGCCAATTTTGTAGTGATAGCTTTATACTGAATTGAGCTCTCTGTATATCGATTGTGATGCTCCAAACTAGTCTCAAGAGTGAGTTGTGCCTTGCGCTGTTTACCTGAAGAAGTATCTTTTCTATTTTCCTTTGAAACCTTTTCTGCCTCTTCTATTTCTTTAAGCACAGCTGGATGCATCTTTTTAAGATGCTTCTTCAGATTTGTTGGAAAGTTGCCCTTCAAAGTTTTACCACAGATTTTACTAGGGTCTTCTGTGGTTGGCATATGGATAGTACAAACACTTGTATCTGACTCCTTGCAGTAGTCAAAATGTTTCCAGACTGTACTTTTCCTTCTTCCCAGGACACTAACTTCAGCCATGTTTCTCTAAGACTTTGATTGTGAATAGATATGCAGCTGTAAAGTGTACATGAACAAGTTGTGCACATGACCTGAGCATGCAGTCCTCATGCACTTTGCACATGTTAATTGTTCAATGACTCTAGGTTGTATCAGGAGCCCTGGTTGTATATTTAGTTCTAGTTTAGTTCTATAGTGTTAGTCTATTTTAGTTTTAGTTTTAGTTATTAAAAGGGTAGCATTTTAGTTCTAGTTTTAGTTTTAGTTATTAAAAGGGTAGCATTTCAGTTCTAGTTTTAGTTTTAGTTATTAAAAGGGTAGCATTTCAGTTCTAGTTTTAGTTTTAGTTATTAAAAGGGTAGCATTTCAGTTCTAGTTTTAGTTTTAGTTATTAAAAGGGTAGCATTTTAGTTCTAGTTTTAGTTTTAGTTATTAAAAGGGTAGCATTTTAGTTCTAGTTTTAGTTCCAGTATTTTAAATTATCAGATTCTAGTTTTAGTTCTAGTTTTGGTTTTTTGTATGAATGTAGTTCAGTTCTAGTTCTAGTTCTTGGAACTAGAACTAGGAAAAAATAGGTGTACTAAAATAGATTTAGTTCTAGTTCCGTTAGAACTAGCACAACACTAATTAGTAGAAACACCATGTCCATCTTACTATAAAATGAATAGATCTACCCTTGCCTGAGAATAGTGAACTAAATGAGTTTCTCAATTTAGATGTACTTTGCTGTCATGCTCAAACTGCTATTAGTAAAATAGATATAAATATTTTCATCATCTTACTCTTTTTATGAGGAGGATAGGGAAGTGTCTCAGCATTGATGTCTTTGATGCCAGCCACCTCGTGGATCCACATGTTTGTAGTATCCTGTCCGTACACTTATTACCCCGTGGACTAAAAGAAAATGATTAAAGGTATCCTCGATCGAAGGTGTCTATGGACAGCCCATCTCTTTGTGTGATTCTTCACCATCCAATGAGGAATTGGACAAGTTACTA